AGCCCCCTTATGCTGGTGTTTGCTGCAAAGCAGCCAGCTCTACGGATGGCCGAGCCATGCTGCCATGGCTAGACCCCATCAGAGCCTGGGGCTCGCCCTGAGGCCACCTCAGCTTGCAGGAGGTGGGTGGTGGCCTTGCAGCATCACTGTCCCAGCATGGGGAGGGGTTTCCTGCAGGAAAGGCTGTGCGCGGGGCTGAGGGGTTGCTCTCAGGTACCTGTGGAGCCACAGTGACACTCCCCTGTGGAAAAGCTCTCTCCGTATGGGACGTTGAGGAGCACCTTCATCCCTGTCCCGGTTAAACCCTGTGGGGACTGACACCCTGGGACGACTGAATGCCCCCAGCCCGGTACCACCAGACAGGCCCCCAGGGAAGCTTCAGTTAACTGGGAGCTGTCAGCCAGCAAACAGAACTGCGCTGCTCCCTTCGGCTGTGCCCCGGTCCATCTGCTCCTGCAGATCTGCGGCACTGCTGGCAACGATGTGAAATATCGAAGAACTGAAGGCACCGGCTCCAGGCTGGCAGAGACCAGCCCAGCAGGTCCGTGGAGAGGAGCGGAGAGAGGTGCATGTCCAGCAGCTGCCCATCTCCCCTCACAGCCATCCCATAACCATCAGCCATGGGTTGGAGGTGTTTCTGCAGCTGTTTGATGTCACCCTGCTGCCTCCTCTCATGAGGCAACAGCATTTCAGAGGAGGTATAGATAGAAAGACATGTATGCAATTCTCAGCAACAGCTCTGGAGTTTGTGAGGTAAATCAAGCCCTTCTGCCTTCTGAGTGCACGTGGAATTGCAAAACTGCTTTATTTGTACAAAACTACACAGTTATTTCATGGCGAATGCATTTCAATGCTTAACCCTCCAACACACAGCAAAATGACAACAGGCTTGACATTCCCAGGTACCAGTTTTTCAGGAAACGCAGCATTTCTGTGGACAGGGACAGATCTTTTGGCTCAATCTGAACAAGTGGGGCTGGCTGAGATGATGTATAAGTGCTTTTTATCAAATCCTCCCTCTCTCACCCCAGAATGGTGCTATCCTGGCACCTTGACCCTCTCCATACCTGCCCTTGGTCATCCCGTTCCAACACTTGTCGTCTGCTGCTGAGCTGGCCATTACTTTTTTGCTGCACAGGCTGCCGGGCAGGGTGATCCAGTAAGTCTTGAGAGCTGTCAGATTCCCTTTGGCATCTAAAACCTGTGAACAAAGAGGATGCTCAGGGCCAGGAGAGCTCTGGGGTGCCCCAGGACTGTGGAAAGGACAAGGATTCTGCCAATTTTTTTTTTTCCACCATCACGAAGTCTGTTTTTATTCAGACAGGGATGTGTCACCAACCTTCACCTAAAGACCAACTGTCAACCCAAGCACCCAAGGCTGAAGACTACATACTAAGGACTGTTCTGGTACCATAAGATTAACCAGGAGAAGATCATCTTCTGGGCCATGAGGGCAATGCTGAGAAGCAGCCTTGGTGGGAGCCAGCAGGGCTCTGCCAGGCTGGGACAGGCAGGTGTCTGTGAGTGAGGAGCCTCTGAGATGTGGGACCATGGCAGATCCCGCATCTCCCACCCCTCATCGTCCACAGAATCCAAAATCTCAATGGAGGAGCACCTCTGGCTCCTGTATCCAGGCTGGACTGCCTGAGGTTCAATGACACCAATGGCAAGGAGCCTTTTCAGATAAGTTTGGCACTAAATCTGATCTTCTTCAGACTCGCCAGCCCACGGGGTGGTCTGACCCGACCCGCAGGACCCAGCGCTGCGCCAGGCTCCCAGGGGAGGCAGCGCACCAGCACGCCTGCCCTGGCACACCGGTGTGGAGAGAGCTTCGGAGGCAAACTCACCAGCATCTCCAGTGCTTGTGCAGAGGATTTAGCTTCCAATGCGACCTTCCCCCGCCTTTTCTTGTCCTCGCTGCTGGAGCCTTTTGTGCTGACTTTGGGATTTCCACAGCCTTGGAAAACCTGAAAAACAAACCAAACTCTCTATCCCATGTTTTGATACTTTCTTTAATTAGCACTCCACAGTTATGGGTTTTCTTTTCTTCTTAAGTATGTTTATCTTTCCCATCTGCAAGATCTCTGAGATTCTGGCTTAGTTTCTGGTCAGGTTACTCTTGTGCCAGGATGTGTTTTCAGCACACTGTAACTGGTTTTGGTTACCGCTATCAAGCAAAATGTTCAGCACTAACACAAAATTACCACGTTTTCGGATGAGTCCAATGTTGATATTAAATTATTTCTAGCAATTTTATCTGTTCCTATTATGATTGAAAAATAAAATTCTGGGAAGAACAAGATGGGAGTTGCTCACACTCATTACACCGGTGGTGTGGGCTTCAAGACTGCAGAGCATGTGAGCTTCACTGATTTGGACAACAGACTGGGGTGGGACTACCCCAACGACTCTTGCAATCGGCACCCACACTCAGCAAATGAATGCCCCCTCCAACCAGGAGAGTGCAAAGACATTAGATGTGTCACAGTCTGTCAGGTTGGATGTTTCAGGGGCAAATGAGGAAGCTGAACTGATTTACCTCCTCACTTTGGGTACCTCCCATCATCCTAACTACCTGCCCAGGCATGCTTTGTAGCCAAAGGAGAGCAGAAGCACTTTGAAGGTACAAATCCTCAGAATCTGCCTCTAGGAGGAGACGAAGGGTGCCCTGGAAGCGCCTGTTTCTCCCAGTCTCTGCATGACCAGTCCAGGCAACGACACCTCTGCTGCAGATAGCCAGTGCTCAGGCAACTGAGCCTCACTGTGGCTGGTGGAAGGAGTGGTCGGACAGCCAGATTTAATGAAGCATCAAAGGTCAGGAAGGCCTTTGCACTGTCAGTTTGATTCAGGAAACACCAGACTTTACAAAGAAAGCCATCTGATTTGAAAAGATGGCTCCAAGCTTGTTGTGGTTACCAGGGTGCTGTCAGAAGCTATCGATAAACTCGACTTTGCACGCTGTCCCCTTAAAGCAGAGAAATCAAGACCTCAGACAGGAGCACTGTTGACGCAGCTTGTGACAGCTGCTGAATGCTTTTGCTAGTGGATTCTGACAACCATCAGCAAAGTCCTAATCTAGACAAGAGTCCCTTCGGTGACAGTGGGTCTCATCCGTGTGTCTGAGGGACGTTCAGCCTAGAAAGCCCCCCTCCAGTGGGCCGAGGCCAACTGTATGAGGTT